TATTAATTTAATTAATTATTTGATAAAATTAAAATCAAATATTATTTTTTAATGTAATTTAATAGTTAAAAAGTGTTCTAATGACCTGGGCCCTTAAAAAAAATCCCATTAATTTTTTTTGGTATATCAAAGAAAAACCCATTAATTAATTATAATTATACATTATTAACTTAATCACATACATAAGAAAACAAGTTTCATATTTTATAATCTAAATTATATTAGATGATAAAACAAGAGTTATTAGATGAGAAATAAACTCTCAATATTAAGGGACTCACCCACTTTTAATTGATAAAATTATATAGTTCAAAACAATTTAAACTAAGTAACACATTTTTCTAAAAAAATATGTCGTTTTTTCTTTTTTACGATGTTTACCTGGTAACATATAATTACTAACTTGCATGTATTAGAATAGTACTTAATTAGAGGTAGGTAATTTAGATAAAATTAGGATATTAATGAGAAAATAATCATCTTCTTACAATTCTCCCAAAAAAATCAACTTGATGAACAACGTGAGGACCAAACTAGTCCTCTGTTCCTTTTTAATTGAGGTTTTAGTTGTGTGCACAAGGATAAATTAAAGAAACTATTAATTAGTCTTAGTAATAGAAATAAACAACAAGAGACCAAAATACTTCATTAACTAGGCGAGCACCAAAGTACATTGATTTTGTTTAATTAAGTCGTTGATTACTTCACCTTTTTTTGTAATCGTTGATTAATCTACCTTAAAACTTAAAATCAATAATCGACAAATAATATAGCAGTATGATGTTTTGTAGTAAACTAGTTTTTTATAATAGAATGGGGTTTATTTGGAAAAAAGAAAAGAGTTTTTTTTTTCAAGGGTTAAGGTGTCTTCAAGTTAATTTGTGTCTATTTTAAAATTGATTATTTTCTCATCATAAAAAACAAGTCATATATGTCAAAACTAGTACATTCATAAAAAATTATCTCTTTATTAACTTTTGTAAAGAATCAAATTTTAGCTAATAATGTAAATAATGAACTCCTTTATCAATCAAACCACACTTCTTTCTAAGAAAAGAGTAACAAAAACTATTTTATAGTTTATATTATAAAATATTGACACTTAAATAATATATAGGTCTTTTGATATTGAAGAACTTCTCTCATCAAAAAATTCCTATTTTATAGTTTAAAACAATTTAAATTATAAAATAACATACTCTTAAAATAAAATTAAATCAATATAAATATTTCATTAACTTTTAATTCCTATTTAGTTAAAAAAAAATGTGAGAAAGGAGTCCATTTCTTTCTCCTTCTTGGATTAAATTAAAATACAAAAAAATAAAATAAAATAAAATAAGGCAAAATTGGAGACCTCTCCTTCCATTTAAATTTTTTATTATCTAATAAATAAGGAAAATTTTTTCTTTCCCTCCAGGTTAAAGCCATCTATCATCCCTTTACTTTGTGAAAAAGTTCAATTTAACCCTTCTACTATGGAATCACCTCAGATCGTCCCTCTACTTCATTTTGAGCTCACATGTCCT